TGAAATGTATTTATGCATCACCTAAAGGTGAATTTAGATACATGATTAAAGTTAAATTGGTTTGAATCTATGGAATTTATTCAAAGCATTAATGTATGGGCGTGTTTTAAATGTTTGCAGTTGCTACTAATATGTTTGCATTGGGCAATGCAATGACAAAGTTCAATGAGCTGAATTATGCTTATTGGTCTGAAAAGATTCAGTTTCAACTGGGTGTTATGGACTTGGACATGACTTTGATAATGGATGAGAAGCCATCAGCTATTATGGAGGACAATACGGAAGATGAAAGATATCTTTTTGAGGCTTGGGAAAGGTCCAACAGGTTGTCTTTGAACTTGATAAGAATGACAATGGCTGAAAATGTTAAGCCATCTATACCCAACATTGAAAATGCAAGGGAATTTATGAAAAATGTGAAAGAGTATTCAAATTCTGATATTACTGACAAATCTATTGTGGGGAATTTGATGAGTGAGTTGACGACTAAAAAGTTTGAATGGTCTCAACCCATTCATGATCATGTGATTCAAATGGGAAATTTGGCAGCAAAGTTGAAGTCCTTAGGTTTGAATGTGAATGAATCTTTTCTTGTACAATTTATCATTAACTCTCTTCCTCTTGAGTTTGGACAGTTCCAGGTGAATTACAACACCATCAAAGAAAAATGAAACTTTCAAGAAATTAAGGCCATGTTGATTCAAGAAGAATGGAGGCTAAAGAAGATGAAAGATCATTTTGTTCATCTCGCAACTCATTATGGAGCCAGTTGCAGTAAGGTCAAACCTGGAAAGGACAAGAAGAAGGGAAAAGCTCATTTAAAGGTTAATAAGGACGAAGTCCAAAAGGAAAAGAAATGTTATTTCTACAAGGAGTTCAAACACTTCAAAAAGGATTGTCCTAAAAGGAAGATGTGGTTCGAAAAGAAAGATATGTTTTACGTTTTCATAAATTTTGAATCAAATCTTATTGAAGTACCAAATAATACTTTGTAGCTTGATTTAGGTGCGACTACTCATGTGTCACATATTATGAAGAGATTCCTTTCGATCCAAACCATAAAAGAAAGTGAAAAGTTTCTTTATATGATAAACAAAATAAAGGCACGAATAGAGGGAATTAGGACATATAGAGTGATCTTGGATACTGGATATCATATAGATCTGAAAATTTGTCTTTATATACCTGGATGTGCTAGGAATTTAGTTTCTGTTGTAAAGTTGGATGAATTGAATTTTAATTTTAGGATTGGAAACAATGTATTTTCTTTATTTAAAGATTCATACTATTATGGTTCTGATATTTTAGTTGTTGGTTTATATCGTTTTAATCTTGATGTTAATTTTAAAGAATCTCTGTTTAATATTGAACATGTTGTTGGTAGTAAGCAAAGTACAAATAATAAGATTTCTGATTATTTGTGTCATCAAATATTAGGTCATATATCCAAGAAAGAGTAATGAGGTTAATGAAAGGTGAAATATTATCTCAATTGGATTTTGGTGACTGAAATATATGTTTGGATTGCATTAAAGGAAAACGCACAAAAAAAATCTAAGAGTTCGTCTACAAGAAGTAGTGAACTTCTTGAATTGATACACACTGATATTTGTGGTCCCTTCGATGTTCCTTCATGGGGAGGAGAAAAGTACTTTATCAATTTTATTGATGACTTCTCACATTACTGTTACTTGTATTTATTGTATGAAAAATCTCAATCAATGGACATGTTAAAAGTATTCATTGATGAGGTAGAAAGGCAATTGGATAGGAATATAAAGATAGTTAGGTCTGATAGAGGTGGTGAATATTATGGAAAATATAATGAGAAAGGACAATGTCCATGTCCATTTGCAAAGTTTCTCGAAAGTCGTGGCATATGTGCACAATATAATATGTCTGGGATACCACAACAAAATGGTGTGGCTGAGAGACGGAATCATACTCTCATGAATATGGTTAAGTCAATATTAAATTATAGTAATGTACCACCATCATTGTGGACTTATGCATTAAAGACCGTTGCATATTTGCTTAATAAGATTCCTAGTAAGGTAATTCCTAAGAATCCTTATGAGCTATGGATAGGAAGGAAACCTAGTTTAAGGCATCTTCGTATTTGGGGATGCCAAGCTGAAGTAAGGGCGTATAATCCACATGAAAAGAAGCTTGATGCGAGAACCATTAATTGTTTTTTCATTGGGTATCTTGAAAAATTAAAAGGGCATAGATTTTATTGTCCTAATCATAGTACGAGAATAATTGAGTATGGTATTGCTCGATTTATTAAAAATGACCAGTTTAGTATGAGTGAGAAATCACATAAGGTGGATATTATGGAGACTTGTGAAAAATCTTCTTCGCCTAAAGAGTCTTCTCAAGTCATGTCCCTTTGGTTGTGGTACTGTCATACAACACACATAGACAACAAATTAATATTCAAAACCCACAAAATGAACATATAATTAATGAACCAGTTGACAATGTACAAGTCACAGATGAGCAAGAACAAGTGAATGAAGAGACACAAGAAATAACAGTAAGAAGGTCTGAAAGGAAAAGAAGACCATCTATTTCGAAAGATTATGTTATTTATTCACTTGAACATGAATGTGACTTGAGAATTGATGAGGATCCAGTCTCATTCACACAAGCCATGGAAAGTGACAATCAATGGATGATAATAATGTATGGGATCTAGTTGAGTTGCCTAAAGGTTCAAAACGAGTTGGTTGTAAATGGGTATTTAAGACCAAACGAGACTTCAAAGTCAATATTGAAAGATATAAATCTAGACTTGTCGCCAAAGGTTTCACTCAAAAGGATGGTGCTGACTACAAAGAAACCTTCTCTCTTATTTCAAAGAAGGACTCTTTCAGAATTGTTTTGGCTTTAGTGGCTCATTATGATTTAGAGTTTCACCAAATGGATGTGAAGACCGCCTTTCTAAATGGTGACTTAGAGGAAGAAGTGCATATGGCTCAACCTGAAGGGTTTGTTACTACGGAAAAAGAAAATTTAGCGTGTAAATTAAAGAAGTCAATATATGGACTAAAGCAAGCTTCCAGACAATGGTATCTTAAATTTAACAATATTGTTTTGTCATATGATTTTGTAGAGAGCACCGTTAATCGGTGTATCTATATGAAGGTCAGTGGGAGAAAGTTTATAATTTTGATCTTATGTGTTGATGACATTTTACTTGTTGCCAATGATTTAGCTTTGTTACATAATGTAAAGAAGTTTCTCTCCAATAAATTTGAAATGAAAGATATGGGTGAGACATCATATGTGATAGGAATAGAAATATTTCGTAATAGATCACAAGGACTGTTGGGGTTGTCTTAGAAAGGTTATATAAATAAAATATTAGAGAGATTCAAAATGGATAAAAGCTCTGTTGGGATAGTTCCTATTCAAAAAGGAGACAAGTTTAATCAAATGCAATGTCCCAAAACTGAATTAGAACGAAAATAAATGGAGTTTATTCTCTATGCATCAATGGTTGGGAGCTTGATGTATGCCCAAACATGTACTCGACCGAATATCAGTTTTGTCGTTGGTATGTTAGGTCGATATCAAAGTAATCCTAGAATGGACCATTGGAAAGTTGCAAAGAAAGTTCTTAGGTACTTACAAGGCACCAAAGATTATATGCTCACTTATAGAAGATCTTTTCAACTTGAAGTGACTGGCTACTCAGATTCAGACTTTGCAGGATGTGTGTACTCAAGAAACTTCACATTTGGGTATGTTTTTTTTATGGCTGGAGGAGCAATATCATGGAAGAGTGGAAAGCAGTCCATCATTGCTACCTTTAATATGGAGGCAGAATTTATAGCATGCTTTGAGGTCATAATCCAATCATTGTGGTTGCGAAACTTCATCTTAGAGTTTGGTATTGTCGACAATATAGCTAGTCTGCTAAGAATTTATTGTGATAATTCGGCAACTCTCTTCTTCTCTAAGAATGATAAATACTTCAAAGGTGTTAAACACATGGAATTGAAGTACTTATCAGTGAAAGAAGAAGCGCCGAAACAAAAAGTGTCATTTGAACATATTGATACAGATTTAATGATAGCGGATCCGTTAACTAAAGGTTTACCGCCTAAGACGTTTGTTGGCCATGTAGAAAGAATGGGCATTAAGTAAAAGTCCTTGTTAATATTATAATATGATTTGTATATATACATGTATAGTTTAATGTTTGTATTATATGACACTTGTGAATTGAATGAAAGATTATGTTTCTGTTGAGTTTCGTTATCCATATTATGTTATATATATTATTAATAATATGTGATGACAAAGGTGTCTTTGTAAACACATGAAAGACATAGTATTGTATCCCTTAAAGTTATTTAAATTGAATTGATTCGTGATACATGGAAGGAATCAAGTTGATGAATAATTTGTGACCGCCATAATTCGATCATTTCAATTCATAAAAGATGATGACTTGGTGCTTTCAATAAATAGTGCACAATTATGGTATAAGATTGAAACATCAAGTTTTCACATGATTCAAGTGAGAGACTCTTGAATTAATTTATTAATCCAAAAATTATGACTCATGTAATTAAAAGTTTGGTTTAAATGAAGGATACCCTAACATGATGATTATTTGGATGGATGGATAATTAAGCCAATGGGAGCCTTTAGAAAAATAACATCAACTTTTCTCATTTCTTCACATTTTCTCACAAATACACAAAAATATCTTTATCATCAAAAAATACACAAGAGAAAAAGAAGAGAAGAGAATAGAGAACAATTGATACAAGATTGAGAACCTATTTTAAATTTTAAATAAAATTATATATTATTATGACAATATTAATATTTTAATTGATAGTAATGGCTGCTGAACGTTTTAGTCAGCCAATCTCATTATTATATTGTAGTAGTTAGGGGAATATTCTGAATTTCTAAGCAAATGTGACAAGAAAACCTACAAACGCTATTGACTTTTCTGAGCTTCTTTTGTTTTCTTAAAGATGGAGCAGAAAAAATATGAAGGATTTGCCGTGGGAATTGATCTTGGTACGACGTACTCGTGTGTTGCGGTGTGGCAAGAGCAACACAGCAGAGTGGAGATTATTCACAATGATCAAGGCAACAGAACCACACCTTCTTGTGTTGCTTTCACTGATAATCAAAGATTGATCGGTGAAGCAGCTAAGAATCAAGCTGCAGCCAATCCACAAAACACTATCTTTGGTAATTTCCTTTATCCATTCGTCCACTCCTTCCATATTTACCCTTATGATTGCGTTGATATGTTACCAAAACAAATGAATGGATGATAAGAGATAGGATAAATGTTCAAATAGGTAAAAACAATGTGACCATGGTTTTAAACTGCTTTCGTGCATTGCGGCTATCCCTAAATTGTCTAATATTGATGCGGTTAGGACGCGGGTGTGATTCAGTTGCAGAAGATACCTGATCAACAATATCATGCGCCAATTGCGGTTGCGGACCACAACTAAAATCATGAATATATGTGACCTATTTGGTCTTCAAAATTATCAAATGTTACTTAAATTAATTATTATACTGTTATTTTATTGGGCATTTGAAAGCTAAATTAGTACTTTTCATTTCTTAGAGACCAAGAAAGTCTTCATGTTTATTTCTCAATGGTGACTCTTTCAGCTTTTACTCTATGAAATTATTATTATTGTTCTTCTTTCAGACGCTAAGAGGTTAATTGGTAGAAAGTTTAGTGACGATGTTGTTCAAAAAGATATGAACTTGTGGCCATTCAAAGTCATTGCTGATGTAAACAACAAACCCATGGTTGCTGTTAAGTACAAGGGACAGGAGAAGCAACTATGTGCTGAGGAAATTTCATCAATGGTGCTCACAAAGATGCGGGAGATTGCAGAAGCATATTTGGAAACACCTGTTAAGAATGCAGTCATCACAGTGCCGGCTTATTTCAATGATTCTCAGCGTAAAGCCACTATAGATGCCGGTGCCATTGCTGGCCTTAATGTGATTCGGATAATTAGCGAGCCTACTGCTGCAGCGATTGCATATGGCCTTGACAAGAGAACTAACTGTGTGGGAGAACGAAATATTTTCGTGTTTGACCTTGGTGGTGGTACTTTTGATGTGTCTCTTGTTACAATTGAGGATAACGTCTTCCAAGTTAAGGCTACTGCTGGAAACACTCACCTCGGTGGAGAGGACTTTGATAACAGGATGGTGAATTACTTTGTGGAGGAGTTCAAGCGGAAGAAAAAAGTGGACATTAGTGGTAACCCAAGAGCCTTGAGGAGGTTGAGAACGTCTTGTGAGAGGGCGAAAAGGACCCTCTCTTTTTCTGTTGATACCACTATTGAGGTGGATGCTTTATTTGAGGGCATTGACTTCTCTTCATCGATCACTCGTGCAAAGTTTGAAGAAATCAATATGGACCTTCTTAATGAGTGTATGAAAACAGTTGAGAGTTGTCTTACCGACTCTAAGATGGACAGGAGTATTATAGATGATGTTGTCCTTGTTGGAGGTTCTTCAAGGATTCCCAAAGTCCAGCAGCTATTGCAGGACTTTTTTGAGGGAAAGGATCTGTGTAGGAGCATCAACCCTGATGAGGCTGTTGCTTTTGGTGCCGCTGTGCAGGCTGCATTGTTGAGTGATGGCATTAAGAATGTTCCGAATTTAGTGTTAGTTGATGTGGCACCACTGTCTTTAGGTTGGAGGCTAATACATGACGACATGGCCGTTGTTATTCCTAGGAATACTACTATACCTGTCAGGAAGACAAAAGTTTTTTATACCACTGAAGATAATCAAGCCTCTGTCCTAATCAGGGTTTATGAGGGGGAGAGAACTAGAGCAAGTGATAACAATCTGCTTGGTTCTTTTAGTCTTTCTGGGTTGCCCCCCGCGCCTCGTCTCCATCCTTTTAATGTATGTTTTTCTATAGATGATAATGGCATTTTGACTGTCTCTGCTGAGGAAATTTCTACTGGCAATACAAATGAGATTATAATAGCTAATTACAAAGAACGGCTATCGACAGAAGAAATTCAAAAATTGATTGAAGAAGCTGAAAATTACAGTGTTGAAGATAAAAAATTCCTCCAATTAGCTAAAGTAAAGAATGCACTGGATCTTTGTGTTTACAAAATTGAGACTGCTTTAAAGAAGCAGAATAATAAACTGAAAATCTCACCGGAGAGCAAAAAGATTAATGCTGCAATTGCAATGGCCAAGAATTTGCTTGATGAGAATAACCGGTATGAATTAGATGTTTTTGAGGGTCATTTGAAGGAGCTGGAAAGTATATTTGAAAACACTATAGCCAAGATTGGTTAGTTTTTTTTTTTCTCTGTTAAGACTTCATGTGTTGTCTGGCTGTATTTTTCGCAATGAATGCAAAACCTTTACATGAAGATGTTATATGTCTTATTACTCTTTGTATTTATCAAAATGTGATTGTTCTGATTATAACTTTATTAGTATGTGGATAGTGTTGCTTGTTGGAAAAAAGCTATCATTTGGAACACCTTAGATGTTTTTTTTTGGAGGTTTATGAGGGATTTAAGAATGTTTACTACTACCGTTTATCATCTTGTTTAATAACCTAGGTTGTTTGCGGTTATAGGATTGAGTATATGTAAGATTTGAAATCAGAAGTTGTGGCACAATGTTCGGGACTTGATTGAGCAGGTGGCTCACCCGCAACATCCTAGCTGCAAGTTTCAAATATTCATGGACACAACAGTCAGCAGTCTGTGAGATAGAAAATGTAGAAAAGCGACCCCCCTTATATCCAAATGTAATCAAAACAATTAGAAGAGGTGGAAATACCAACAAGAAAGGGGATATGTTTTTACTTAGCATTGAAACAGGTATCTTAGGAAAAAGAATGCTTATTAATGTGAACTAAAGGAAAAACTTTATGCAAACCAACAAATTGTTTAGAGAAAAGATGGGTTAATTGTTAAATGTAATTTAAATCCAAATTATCTAGTTTCATTTGAGTTTGAGTTAGTGTATATAAACTGACAGGACAAAGATTAAAGGTGATAGAGTTTGAATTTTTTACCCAATTAATTAATTTTTGGAAATTTTTTTCAAAATACCCCACATTTTAAAAATATTCTCAAAGTACTCCAGTTAGGATTTGTGATTACACAAGGGTGTCAATCCAATTGGCGATCCTTTGTTAAGGCCATAAGGGTGGCGCCAGTTGGTTTAGAGACACCTCATGCAGTCTACAACCCAATTGGCAACTTGGTTATGTTCATTAAAGGGTGTCGCAAATTAATCTGGAGACCCCTTGTATTTTGAAATTTGTTTTTTATAAATAGAGGTGTTCTGATCATTTACTTTCACATCTCATCTGATATCTTTATGTGAAGGCAAATCGCCACACATCACACGAGTTTGCAAGACATCACTCGATATAGGTTTCGATGATGACGAACTACAACCATGGATGAATTGGCAATTGTAAATTCCAACTCTACCAAACAAATGCAACGTATCACCTACCGTATCCTTTTACATTTGTCTAAAAACTGTTATAATTAATATAATATGTGTAGATAAAATGTGGTCGTGAGAAGAGGCATGAAAAACCACAAGATTTCAATTTTTGCAGGTTTGCAGAGCATGAGTCGACCATAGGGTCGGCGCATGCATTAGTGCATTTTTCCACTAGTCAGCGCATGAAGGTTTGAGTCGACTGCAGGGTCGGCGCATGAAGAAATTACTCTTCAACGGGCCAGCGCACGCCGACTGTATGGTCGACGCATACTGATACATTTTGCAGATTTCCAAAAATGCAGGCTATGCGTCGACGCACAGACCTGCTGTGGTCGACCGTTCGCGCGGAAATACAGTTTTTAAGTGATTCCCTCTATTATTTGAAAAGTTGTTATGTCTTTCGTTGGTCTGGTACTATATATACAAGTTCAACCACTTATGTCATTTCAACATTTGATAAAAACTGATTCATGTGTTCAAGAATAAGAAAGAGTGAAATAGGTGTCCAAGATTCATCATCTTCATCTTCAACATCTCACAACACATCAATTACACACAGCCATTTTTTAAGTGCATTGTGAGTGATTAAAGGTGATAAGGTTCGAAGCTTAGATTGGGTAATCTAGTTCGGGTTGAAGCTTGTGACAGGTTCTTTCTTGAATAAAACCGTTAGAGTTTTATCCTCCAAGATTGGTTTGAATTTTGGGGGTTTTTGGACGAGATTCTTCATCAAGGGTCAACTGAGCGAAGGTGATTGTGAAGAGGTGTTCTTCAACAGTCTAGTAGCGGATTCAGTGATATTGAGGGGAAGATCTCGGGTTCGATTCGTTGCAGTTGAGATCAGCCGGAGCCGAAGGTTTGAAGAACTAAGGGTTATTCAATAAGGTGGCTAGAATCGGAGGTCTATCAACAACGATCGGAGGACTTGATTCATCATTGAATCAAGGGGCAAGGAGTGAAAGCAACATTCAACGTCTTGAGATTTCTGTTGTATATTTGTTGTTCAATCCTTATATAAACTGTTACATTCAACAGGTGATATCTATTAAATCTATCTCAATTCTAATTTTAGAATTGAGGGCAGACGTACCCCGAAGCGAGGACGACGGGGGAACTGCCTCACCAAATACTTGTCTTCTCTATTTTTCAGCATTTTCGTTTTAGCTTAAAAATAAGTGATTTTTGTATAAGCATTATTGTTAAACTGTGATATCAATTGAGTAAGAGGTTAAAACTCTATTTTTGAATCCAAAGTACAATAAGACATTGTACTAGGCTAGTTGGAATCACTTACTCAACATAAATATCACTTGGAGTGTTTTTGCACGCCAAATGTTCGACAAATTGCCTAAACCAAAATTATCTTATTTGTGTATCTAGTTTTGGTTTTCTCTTTAAATCATTGGAACTAGGAATCCTAACAAGTGAATTAGATCATTGATAAGTGTGATTAGTGTTGTGATTCTCTTTTCCATATTGTCATTAATCCAAAGGCCTAACGCATATCCGATTTTCCAATAACCGTTCGTTTTAGACTATCTTTTCCTCGGCCGCTTCCGCACTTAAAACAAAATTTCAAAACCAATTTTTTAATTGGTAGCGCCGACTCAAATTTTAATTGGGATCTATTCAACCCCCCCTTCTAGATCCGTGCCATAGTCTAACAAGTGGTATCTAGAGCTCCGGTTACTCGGTGCTTCAAATACAACGTTGATAGAAAATGGCTAACGAACCAAAAGGGGCGTACAATAGAGCTCCCGTTTTCAACGGTGAAAATTATAGTTATTGGAAAGACTGTATGCGGGTGCACATAAACTCCATAGACAGAAAAATATGGAACGTTATCCTCAATGGTCCAATAGAAATTACTATGACCAATGCGGATAATGTAGTTGTGCCAAAGCCCGAAGCACAATGGACCGATGACGATGAGAAAAAATACAATTATGATTGGAAAGCCAAAAATATCTTAATCTCCTCATTAGGTCTAGATGAATACTATCGTGTATCCCATTGTCCTACTGCTAAGGCCATATGGGATTCACTACAAATTGCCCATGAGGGGATGAACGATGTTAAGTTGGCTAGAATCAACACATTAACACAAGAGTTTGATCTCTTTTTCATGGAGCAAGGGGAAACCATTGTTGACATGCAAAAGAGATTTACTTATCTCATCAATCGTTTACATTCATTAGGTAGGTCTGTTTCCAATGATGTTGCTACTAATAAGATCTTGAGATGTCTTAACAGGGAATGGCAGCCGAAAGTGACCGCCATCAAAGAAGCACATGATCTTACCTTATTAGACTTGACAACATTGTTTGGCAAACTACAAGAGCATAAACAGGTACTCTTGAGCCTACACCAACGCGAAAAGAAGGAAAAGAAAGACAAAACAAAGGTGAGTGAAAAAAAATCGATAGCTCTTAAGACTTCCTCCTCGAAGTCTCAAGAAAAAGAGCAAAGTGATTATTCCTCAAGCGACGAAGAAGAAGAGGACAAGAGCGAAGATATGGGGTTGTTCGTTAAACGGTACAACCGTTACGTGAGAAAGAATGGCATCCAACATTCCGAGAAGAACTTGGTAAACTTCCGGAAACAATCGAGGTACTCCAAAGATGATGACTCAAAAGGTAAAAATACTAGAGGGACGTGCTACAAGTGTGGGAAGCCCGGGCACTACAAACCGGACTGTCCGATGAACAAAAAGGCAAAGGATAAGGAATCATCAAAGTCATACAAGAAATCATCAAAGCCAAGGAGAGCGTACATAGCTTGGGAAAGCGATAGCGACTCTTCCTCCTCTGATGAAAGCTCTAGTGATGAAGAAGAGTCTGTGAATCTATGCCTTTCCGCACATCAGAAAAATAAGAAAAAGCAGGTACGTCACTCTAAATATGAGAAGTCCTCAAATATGTCGCATTCAGAATTACAAACCGCATTTAATGCTTTACACAATGAAGCAACTGAAGCCTTTAAAAGACTTGCCTCTAATAAAAGAATTTTTACTTACTTAGAGCACAAAGTTAAAGAGTCTGAAAAGAAATTAGAGGACCTTAAGGCTTCCATTGTGGAAAGTAATAAATCGGATTGTAAGGACCATAGAAATCCTTTCGACTTTGGATGTGATACTTGTCATATTTGGAAAGGTGAAGTTAGAAACCTTAATGCCAAATTAAACAAGGCACTTGAGCCTAAAATTACATTTGCTATTGATAGAAAGGATTTTAGAAAAAGTATGGTAAACCCATATCAAAAATATGCATATGTAATTAGAGATCAAGCAAGTAAAAGTGATTCTAAAGTCGATTTTGCATGCTTATATTGTTGCAAGAAAGGCCATTCCATTGCTAAATGCCGATTTAGGATATTTTTGGTTCCTAAAGGCATCTATCAATGGTTGCCCAAACGCAACCATCTTGTCGCTAACATATTAGGACCCAATATGCCATTGGGTACCTCCTTTTGCTAATTATGTTTTTATAGGTAAAATGTGTCGAGACCACCGAGAGAAGATGGGTTCTCGACAGTGGATGCTCAAGACACATGTCTGGAGACATATCCTTATTCATAGACTTCGTGGCTAAGAAGAAAGGGTATGTAACTTATGGTGATAACAACCGTGGAGCAATACTAGGTAAAGGTAGTGTAGGTAACCCCTCTTCTACTACAATTTCCGACGTGTTGCTTGTCGAGGGCCTTAAACATAATCTGCTTAGCATTAGCCAATTATGCGACAAAGGATGCAATGTATCATTTTCAAAAGATTGTTGCAAAATTGTGCATGATAATGACAAGAAGAATATGTTTAATGGTTTTAG